AATATATAACTTTTTATTATGGTTTGAGTGAACAGATACAAATAAACTGGTTTTCCAGTCAACAGTTCATACATACTTTATGACATTGATTGCAAATCTCCACAATGTCAAAGCACTCTTTCAACTTTCTCTTTGGGTTTATCCTTTTTTTCTTTCCCCCGCTCCTTTCTTTTCAGAATTTTATCCTTGGACAAATACTACCATTTTGATTGGCATGGCTGATTGTTCTAAGGATTATATTCCTTTCTTCCTGGTAGTGTTCACCTTACAGACCAGTTTACAGTTTAGTTGAAGGCTGAGACATACAGTGAGTTTTATTCCAGGCTTAAAGAGTGTCTTGAGGGTTCCAAAAGTCTCTTTCTGACCACCACAACTGAGCTTCTATAATTTTAAGTTTTGCTCCACACTTTTACTTTATCTAGGACCTCTTATTGATATCCCTTTCTGAGTGGTTGGAAGAGATGGCCAAACACTATTTAGTTCTGGTTTTATAACCATGGTGATTGGGATTTGTATGGCACATTAATACTCTGGACTAATTTTTTCCACGTGTCTGGTTTTCTTCACTCTTCTTTGCTCTCGACAAGGACAGAGCCCCTTAGAAGGTAACTCACAAGATTGTAAGAGTCCAGTAGCTACTTACCAAAGTCAATGTAAGACACTGTCTTTATGGACGTTGTTGGCCTTAAAGTTCTCTGAGACTGGTCTTGTGGCCCCAAGCCCCACAGTTAATTCCCTCAAACTGTTTGGTTATTGCTAACTAGTTTTTAGAATTTTTCTTCTATGTGGTCTACTATATTAATGGATATATTTACAGCACATACACATACACATAAATACACTGCCAAATGGTTGTAATTCTGTTTTCCTTATAGTATCTTCCTCTGCCTTGATAATTTTGAGGCAACAACCCACTCCACCTTATTAAGTCACCTTCCCTTCACCTAGGTTATCCTCTCAATAGTGATTTACTCTCCCTTCCTCTCTCCATCCTGATAGTCTCCAAAGAAAGTTTCTTTTTATGTGTGAACCCTTTCTTCATTTTTTTGACAGCAGTAGTCTCAATACACTGTTTTTCCTCTCGATTTACTACTTCACTCAACATAATGCCCTCTAGATTCAAGCAAGTTATGAGGGGTTACACAGAGTCATTGCTATTATTTAATGTTGCATAGTATTCTTTTGTGTATGTACATAAAATCTATTATCTATTAATCTGTTGATGAACACTTAAGTTGCCTCCACCTTCTTGCTATTTATTTTCAACAGGGTTATGATTAATACATGTGTGCAAATATCTACCCATGTGATAGCACTTTATAAATTATCTGCAGCAGAATTCTCACTGTACTCTTCCCATTGCCTGACCTATGAATCTCCAAACACAAACCTGAAAGTCTCTAAATTGGTATCTGATCTATAGATGTGAAGCCTGGCCATCCCCAATAACTGTGTGAAGTAAATCTCACTGGGTTGTTTTTCATTCTTTATATGCTTGTTCTTAAAACCCAAAAATGTTCCTGTCTTCTGCCACAAGACAGGTTCCCTAATGGTAGACACAGCCTAATACTTGGGTTTTCAGAGTGATGTGGGGTGAGCTGCAGGGAATCTTATTTTTGCAATCAAATAGTGTGCTGATTGCATCAACGTGGTCAAATCTCAAGTCCAGGTTCTACCACTTCCTCTCTGGCCGATGCTGGGTAAAACACTTGACCTTCGTGGGCTTCCTCATCTGAAATTAATGAGTCTATTGTCAGCATCAAGTTAGTTCAGCTAGGTAAAAATGCACTCTTCCAATTTAGGAAACCAGGTTACTTTCTCAAAAACTGTTATTTGAGAATCATGGAATGCTAGCTGGCGATCTGGCTTGGAACTAACAGACAGCTGAATTTTATTTGTGAATGATAATCAAAGAGCACATGCATTTTCTTCTACTTCATGAGTTATTCTAGACATCGATTTCTACAGTGAAGATGCCCTCATTTTCTTCTGTGTGGGTAGCTGCACCTATCATCTCTGGACCCCTTTCTAGGCGAGCCATACCCTGTCCCTCATCCTGTCAGTGGAAAAGCTCCCTGCCCATGGAACCGACATTCTGCTGGCTTAGATTGCAGAGCCCTGGCCCCTTCTCTGGAACTCAGTTCATCATTCAATTGTTATGCTTGTTTTGCTGGCTGCTGTCATTAACGGGCCCTGTGCACTTAGATTCTTAGCCCCACTATTGCTCTGCAGGAATGCACTGGGTCTCTAAAAGAAAATCTCAGGGTATGAGACAAAGACAGCCTCCTCATTTCAGAACCTAGCTGGTCCTGAAGATTGAGAGGAGCTTCCAGGAGGTCATGAAGTGCAAGTTACATCACAGATCCAGTATCATCTGCATCTGACTGCCTAGATCAGCCTCTATATCACAATCGTGGAGCAATGGCATGAGCCTGTCCCACAATGGGAAAAGAATGGCTGTATTTTCTGATACGCTCTAAATTTACTCTTAATGATATATTGGGCTTATACGTGTCAATGCCCACAACAACTGATGGAAGTGGATATGGTGTAGGAAAGGATGCAGAAATGTTTTCCAAGGTTGGTTTTTAAGTCAATGCACTAGCAAACTCTAGGAGACCGTATAAAAAAGTACAGGGCAAGGCTCTGGAATGCAGACCAGAGGTCCTGGAAAAAGCAGTCTCTATCACTAATAAATCACTGATGTATCTATATCAGCCTTAGTTGAGATGGCCACAGGTGTTTGTATCAAGGGAGCTGCAGCAGTTGTTAGCAATTGAAAAGATTGTGCCGTGAACACGTAAAAAATCCATAGGCTGCTATGCATCCAGTATTTCAGGGGAACAGGTCAACTGGCTGGACTTGGGGAATCAATACTTCTGCACTTGGAGTCCAATCTTGTGGTCAGTAGGGCCTTATTCCTGGTAACATGTGTCACCTACTATTCTGTGGTACCCGAAGGTAGCTTTAAACTACACAGTGAATGATCAATTCAGTCAGTTATGTTTTCTCATCTCAGTTCACTTGGGAAAGTTATTTAGTGAAGAAGAAACACTATATAAAGTTTGGATACCTGAGGAGGCAGGATTTCCTGAAGAAGTGAGATTACCTGATGAAGTTCTTTCAAGTTCATGAGACTTCTGACCCACCAACAACGTGATTTGGGCCAAAGTGCAATGTAATCTTGTTTTGTAAAGTAGCAACCAAGGTAATATGGTTTAACAGGAGACAAGACTCAAACAAAGGTCTGGTCTGAGTCTTGACTTGCCATTTCCTACGCACACAACTAGAGAAATTACTATATCCGAAATGAAGTATTTAAGAATGAAATGAGCCAATGAAAAACAGAGAACTCTTATTATGAGATAGGGCACTAAACTCTGGATTAATATAATTCAGTAGTTTTAGTAAGTAAGCCTCTTTGAGTAGGTTAACTTCTTTGAGATATAAAGTTCAGAAAAATGTTGACATTTATTTCTGCAAGATCACATAGATAACAAGTAGCATAAGTGGTTTTAAATCCAGATTGGTTTCACCCAAAGCCCATGCTCTTGAGATCATCCTAATTGTTACAGAGATAGTTGGTATTTCCCATATTGTTTTTAGGGTTAAGGCCTTAAGTTTTGAGATATCCACTAGCAACAAATGCAGGAGGGAAGTAAATGAAATGCTCAGAGTGAAGTAGGGATCAGCAGGTGACAGGATTCACCAGGCTGTATCACTGATAAATGATGTATACCAGGGACAGGTGACACCTATGCCAATGGAGCACGTAAGGGAATATTCATGGGGCTCAAAGTGAAGACTTAAGCAGGCAGGGCTTCTGGAAACCCTGTTATTGGTTCATTACTGGAATCTTGTGTGGCTCTGGAGTTATTTAAACACACTAAGTATAAATAAAACCTAACCACTGACACCAATCTGAAAGAAAAGTTATATGCAAAAATAATAATTTTTGTTAATTAATGGTCACTGGTAAAAAGCAATGTCTATACTTATTTCTTAGTATTCTTGTGTTAAATTAAGTAGCATGAAGCAATAGGTGAGTCTTTTAAAAATGTCAAGAAGCTATTCAGTGAGTTAAGAGAACAAAAGTTATCTCTTTCTTAAGTTTATTAGTGCTATTATTATTACTCAGACGAGAATCACCCAGGGGGTCTGTGGGCACCTTGTCCTTCACAGAGGGAGAATCAAACTCTTTGTCTTGAGTTTCTGGAGCACATGCTCACTTTCTGTTGGGGGTCTTAGGAGAAAGGCTATGATCAGGCCCCTTGTCCTAGATTTAACTAGGTGCCAAGACTGTCATATATAGCTGCTTGGTCACTACTGCGTGTGGCAGAGTCAGAAGCAGGGTATGGTGTTCTTGGCATTGGGGGCAACAGGGCTTGAACTGACCTGGGCAGATAGCTAAACAGGCTTTGCTCTTTCTTGGCTGAGCTGACCTATAGACCAATGACCTTGAGGGTCCTACTAGGGTCAATGTCTCTTGGTTTGTCCATCCTGAGTGGTTTGAAGAGTTGGCTCTTTTCCTCTGCTCCCAAGTCTTTTTGCAGGGAAGGCCAGTGAAGTGGGAGAGTGTCATAGTGGTCAAGCAGGCTCTTTCTGCCTTTGCCTACTGCACCATGATCCATGAAAAAGAAACTTTTAAAGACGTTATATATTGCTAATGTGTTGGCTGTTCAGACACCAGCAGGCTGTGGAGAGAGTTACATTGCTGCCTATCTACCTAGAACTATCCAGAAACAACCTTGCAGCTCAGAATCTTCTTTAGAACTTCCACAGGAAGAATTTGCAGCACCCAACTGTCTCTTTCTCTACACAGTGCTGAGAAGACAAAATAAAAGGGTAAGAACAAAGGAAATTGAGAGGCTTCCTGGACTTGTTCTGCCATGATTTTCGGTATGGCATCTCAGAGCATGTTCTCTGTCTGCCCCACATCAGCTCTACCTTGCTCACATCCACCAGAATGGCCTACGACATCTTCTTTGCCTGAAGGAGAATTATAAATGGTTGTTCTTGGAGAGGTAGGCAATGAGGGCCACAGCCACACCCACATAGATGCCAGTTCCAAGTGTGATGGACAGCACGGCCAGGAAGAGTGCCCGCCGGGAGCTGGTGGTGGCTTGGTGGAAATCTCCCTTGGCCACAGCTTTATTGGTCTGTAGAGGTGGAGAGGAAGGAGGGAGAAGAAAATGGAGTCAACATTAGCACCTCTGAATAAACACTATGAGTAAAGGTTATGTCTATGGCTCTCTTCCAACAGAAATGGAATTAGATCGAGGAAGTGAGGCTCACAAAGCAGAGAAGGACGGAGAGAGGAAATGGTAACTCTGATTTCCCAGAAACTTGTCTCAGATCATTTAATCAGCAGGTTCCCTGAAACTTCACTTTTTCTCTGATCAGTCACCATAGATTCACTCCTGTCTCGACTGTCCCTCATCTTAAACATAGCTATAATTGGTAAAATTAATTCATAAATAAAGCAACATGATACAAATACCAAAACCTGTATTTCTGGGTTCTCAATTACATAATGAAGATTTAGTTTCATAAGATCCAGGATTCTTGGTAGAGTGTGCTTCATAGGAATTAGAGGTTAGAGATGTTTTATCTAATTTGATACTTTAGGTCTGACCCACTCTCAGCCTCCTTTTCTTTGCTCCATGGCATAAATAAGCTTAGGACTACTTCATGCTTTCCCACCTTGATGTATGGTGTGGCCAGATAGCTATTTGGACTCTGAGGGAAAGTCCCTAAGAAAGGAAAGAGGGATTATGGGAAGTTTTTTGTGTTCCTAATAAGAAGCAGGACTCAAGCGCAAAGCCCTTCCTCCTTCAAGTCTAAAATGTAGATATGTCTAGAACTTTGGTGGACCTTTTGGGGCCAAGGTAAGCTGACAGAATTGTGTGACAGAATTTGTATTGAAGTATCAGCTGTGGATCCCTGGTGCCAATGTCCAAAGCATATTGTTGTAGGAAGAGAACAAACACACTTTTTACTTTTACTGATTGAGTGAATGACCTCTTGATATTGCACACACCCTTCTCAACACAAGAAATTCAGGGATAGCTACTCCTGAGTGGGCACCAGGGTAAAATGTCTCATTTGGAAGATGAGGGTAGCAAGGACATCTCAAGAACTTCATAGTGCCGAAGAGGACACACCTTAAGCCACTGGAGGAACTTATGGTCAAGAAACAGCTCACTACTGTGGGGTAGGTGGCTGTGGATATGTCCTGAGTCAGTATCATGGCTCGTTTACAGAAAATGAGTATCTCTCTCTGGTCCCATTTCCTTTTTCATTGGTGATATTTTACATTTTATAGACAGGTGTGTGTGTGTGTGGAGGGGGGGGTGGGGGGAAACAGTGTGTTATTTACTCAAGCCAAAAAGTATATCTGCAATATACCACAAGGTTGACTTGGAGATAACTCATGGCATACATCTTTATTATCCAGTCTTTTGGTCCCAGGTGTAAACGGGACTTGAACATTTATATGGAGTCAAGAAAAGACTTATTGGTCACTTGGTTTCCTATTCTTCTCTCCAACTTATATTGTTGAAAGCTAGGGGTTTTTTTTTATACTTTATATTTTATTTATGTCACACTGGGTGTGGGAAAAGCTAGTTTTAATTTTTCCTTTCTGCAAATTTTTTGGCTTGGCAGCTCATGCCACTTTGTGTGTGTGTGTGTGTGTGTGTGTGTGTGTGTGTACAATCAATGGTTTATTCACTGCAAATATATTTTTTGAGATTTTTTTTTTATTAATTTAGTTTATTTTTCATTTCAGTGAACATCTACAGAGATTTTGGAATTCCATTCATTCATTGTTGCACTTGTCTCCCCGCACAAACCCCTCCCCCTGCCCCCCCCGTTTGCTCCTCTCCTTGAAAAGCAATTGGTACACAATCCCCCCGCACCTCCCCAAACCCCCCCCACCCCCAAATATAATCCACTCTTCATGCCACTTTTTGATGAAGTTGAGCTAAGTAAGGGTCTACAAAACAAGAAGCTTCCTAGAAAATGAATCAATTAAGTCTTTAGTTGCTCAACTTAATTTTATCTAGTTGTACTCCCAGAAACCCTGATATTAGCATTAACTGCATATAGCCATTAGTCAGTCACTAGAACTGTAGCTTTGGTGCTAACTATGCCATCTTCACCTGCTAATCACACTTCATGGTCAGTGGTGGAATAAACTCAAACTGGTTGCTGTGCTTGTTCTGACTCACAGCTACCTTCCACTGTCTCCCTGCTCGATTTTAAGCAAGCTTCACATCTTCTATGTTCTGTAATTTCTCAGCAGCTTTAAGTCTGGGCAGTGTGTGAACAAATTTGATTTCTACTCTAATGCAAATCTCTTGGGTTCTATGGGAGATTTATGAGCAAAGCCGTGAGACATCTCTTCACCTAAGTTAGCTTAGCACAGTTTAGCACTGATCATGGGAATGCTGATGATTCTGGATTAAAATAACTTCTATGCACTTCAATGATTTTGTGGATCAAGTTGAGACCATGTGTTATGCAATATTATGTTTGATTTTAGGAAAACTGTCCTAACAAGAGACCCAACCAATTTAATTTGTTAGAAATACTATTATCTTTAGATACTTCCAACCAGCTTGCAAATAATGCTTTCACAGAGATGATTTTATTAAACAATGCTTTTTACTCACCTTCACTTTGAATTCTTTTTTAAAAAATTTATACATATTTATTTATAAAGTTCCAATACGTTGTTTTCCACAAAAGATTTTTCCCATTTCCTTCACCCCCCCCCATTGAATTGTACAATCCTGTGATTAAAACTCCCACCCATCCCCACCCCTCCGCTTCCACCCTCAACCCCTTCTTGGATCCGTATGCTCATTCTACAATAACAGTTTTGCAGTATTTGTCCTTATGGAACTGAGTTAGTTCACTTGGCATAATGCTCTCCAATCTCTCCCAAGTTAGGTAGTAATTTACAAAACTATTGCTCTTGCGTGCAATGTATGAATGTACCACAAATTTCCATTCGTTGTAGTTGGACATTTGGCTTGTTTCAATGTGACGGTGAATAACACTGCTATAAACATTGGTGTACGAGTCTCAGTTCTCACTTTATTTGGGTATCTTCCTAGCAAAGAATAGCCGGGTCATATGGAATTTCTATGTTCAACTTTTTGAGGAAGCACCAGAGTGGTTGTACCATTTTACAATCCCACCAACAATGTATAAGAGATCCTATCTCACCACATCCTCTGCAACATTTACTGCTTGCTGTCCTGTTAAAATTTGCCACTGCTACTGAAGTAAGATGGCATCTCATAGTGGTTTTTATTTGCATCTCTCTTATTGCCAGTGATTGGAGCATTACTTCATGTATCTGTTGGCTATATTAATGTATTTTTTGGTGAAAATTCTTTCCAGGTCTTTTGCCCAATTTGTAACTGGGTTATCAGTCTTTTCCTTGTGGAGGCCCAGGAATATTCTATAAACATTTGTTATGAGACTCTTGTCTGAGATGTTATTGCCAAATGCTTGTTCCCAGTCAGTAGGTTTTCTTTTCACCTGCGTTGGAAAAAGTTTCTGATGCACACAGGGACTGAATCTTTAGAAGGTCCCACTCATCAATTTTATCCTCTTCACATTGCACATTTCTGGCTCTATTTGGCAGTCTCTTTATAATGAAGATTAGACCTTCTAAGCTTGATCCCAGTTTGTCTCATGCATTTTATGGTTTTGGGCTTTACTCCCAAATCTCTGATCCACCTTGAGGTGCTTTTTTGTGTGTGGTATGAGATGTTGATCCTGTTTCAGCTTTCTGCAGGTGGAAGTCCGGTTTTACCAGCACCATTTATTGAAGAAGTTATAATTTCCCCATTTGATAGGTTTTATTTCCTTGTCAAATATCAGTTGACCATAGATAGCTGGGCCTATTTCTGGGTTCTCAATTCTGCTCCACAGATCTATGTGCCTGGTATTGTACCAATACCATGCTGTTTTGGTTACTACCACTGTGTAGTCAGTTTTGAGGTCAAGAAATGAATGCTATGCTTTGCACTTCATTTTTGTTTCTCAGAGGTGTTTTGCTTACTTGGGGTCTCTTGCCTCTCCAAATAAACTTGGCAATTTCCCTTGCAATATCCTTGAAAAATGAACTTGATATCTGTACTGGGATTGTGTTTGACATGTAGGTTGCTTTTGGTAGGACTGTCTTTTTCACAAAATTGAGTCTTCCAATCCATGAACATTTTCCCATTTCTTTAGGTCTTTTATTGTGTCTTGCAGAAATGCTCTGCACAAGGTCTCTTGTGTCTCTAGTCAGGTGCACTCCCAAGTATCTTGATTTGTGGTTGACTATTATAACTGGTATTGCTTTCTTGGTTTCCATCTCTGAGTTCTCCTTGTTGCTGTAGAGGAAACCTACTGATTTTTGGATATTGATCTTATAGCCTGCCATTCTACTAAATTTCCCTACAGTTTTTTGAATCTTGGAGTTTTCAGTTTCACTATCATATCATCTGCATATAGCGACAGTTTAATAATTTCTTTGCATGTCTGAATTAATTTTTATTTCCTTCTCTTGTCACACTTCCCTTACAAACACTTTAACACAGTAATGAACTATAGCGGTGACAGTGGTCATCCTTGTCTGGTCCTTGCTCACAAGGAAAATGCTTTTAGTTTTTGTCCATTGAGAATGATATGTTGGCTTTTGGTTTTGCATATATATTTTTCTCTATGTTGAGGAAATTCCCTTGTATTCCAATTTTACTGAGTATCTTAATATGGAAGGGGGTTGGATTTTGTCAAATGTTTTTCCTACATCAATTGCTAACATCATGTTTTTTATTCTTTATATTGTAAATATGGGGAATTATGTAGATTGCTTTACTTATGTTGAACCAGCTTTGCATACCTGTAATGAAATCCTACTGGGTAATGGTTAATTATTATTATTTTTTTATGTTGTACAAGTCTTTTTATTTTTTTTTATCATACATGTTTACTTAAGCTATACAGAATTGAGTAGATAAAATCACATTCACATTAGTGAAAAATCTCTACAAAATGTCTTTGAAAAGCAAAACAGGACTGCCTCTTAACAATTTGTATCCTCATGAAAGACATGGGCTGTAAAAATAAAGCAGTGTGTATAGCACAAACTAGAAGA